ATATATATATATGCATATGGCCATGGTCCCAGCCCGGCACATGCATGCGTGTGCACGGGCCGAATGGCCCCCGGAGGCACGGCCGCGGCCAGCATTCGCGGGTGGATCGCGCACCGGCGGCCGCCGACTCCCAGGGCCGACGCCGCATACACGGCCACGCGCACACATGTGCACACGCACAGGCCGAGCTCCATTGCCTGCTTGGTGGACCGCCAGCCCGTTGCCATTGGCCGGGCCCCTTGTGGCTTGGTGCTTCCGGCCGCCCTTCCAGCCCTGGTTCTTGAGGAGGCCGAACGACGCCCCCCTCGCCCTTTCCCCCTCTGGGTGTGCGGCCCTGCTCCGCGCGGCCGTGCCCGGCCCCATCGCCCCCGGGCACGCGCGCACACACGCCGGAAGTAGTGCCCTTCCCAGGGTCAACCCGGCCTCAAGTCCCGCGCGCCAGCTCGCCAGCCCACCGGGCCACACACACACACACACACACACACACACACACACACACACACACACACACACACACACACACACGTAGGCGAGCATCGGACACGGATGCTCGAGGCGATCGGTGCTCGCAAAAAAAAAAGCCCCACTCCCGGCCAGCACCCCCATGCCGCCGCAGCCTCGCCTCCCTCCCTCCGCCATCCGCACCACTGCCCCGCCGAGCAGGCCCTCGCGTCTGCCTTCGAGCGCGCGCCCCGGCCCCCTGGCCCTGGCGCCTCCCTGCCTGGCACTGCTCCCACACCGCTTGCTGGCAGGCGCTCTGCTCTCGGAGCCACCGCCTCGTGGTCGCGCCATGTGCGGCCGCCCGGCACCCATGCGTCAAGTGCCCGGCTGAGACACGCGCCGCTTGCATGCCGGCAGCCCTGGCCGTCGCTCCCCCCCCCCCCCCCCGGGCCCGGTCGCGGCAGCGCCATCTGACATTGGCCAGCCGGGGGTCCGGGCATGCGCGCGGCGCGCGGCACGCGTCCATCGCGGGCTTTCTCCCTCCCCTCCGCCGGCCCGCGGTCGCGCAGCAGGAGGCGCACCCCCGCGCGCACGGGGGAGACCACAGCCGCGGAGGGGCAAATGCGGCCGGGGACCGCGCCGATGGCCCCCTCCCCCGCCCCCCCGGTGCGGCTGATCCTGCCGCCCCTGCGCCGGACGGCCCCCGGGGGGGGGGGGGGGCCTGCGCTGCCGACGCCCTTCCACCCCCCCTGGCGGCACCCCGAGAGCAAAAAGGCCAGCCACACACGCACCCCTCTCCCGGTCGGGGAGCCAAAAATGAACGCTGACCACGATGCGGCTCGAACACACAACCTCCTGATCCGTAGTCAGGTGCTCTATCCAATTGAGCTACGCGGCCATGGCGCAGCACCCGCGCCAGCGCTACAGGATCCCTGGCCCCGGCGTGCGCCTCCCCCAACCAGCACGGGCCGACGCCGGCGTCTCCTCGCCGCCAGACTGCTCAAGGCCCCTCCCCTCTCCGTGACCTCTTAAGGCGCCCCGCCTCGCCGTGGCCTACATCCGGGCCCCATAGCTCAGTTGGTTAGAGCGTCGTGCTAATAACGCGAAGGTCGTCAGTTCGATCCTGGCTGGGGCCAGCTTGCCCTTTTGCTCCCCCCCGCCCAAAGGCGGCGCGTCCGGCCGTTTAGCCGCTCCGCCGCCGGCGCGTGGAAGGGCCTTGGCAGCGCAGAGAGTAGTCCCCGCGCGATGCACGCATGCACACGCACGCGCATGGACGGGAGCCGCCGCCGCCGCCGCCGACCTCCGCCGACCTCCGCCGCCCCGGCGGGGGTGTACGCCGGCTCCCGGTGGAGTCCTCCGCCTTTGGCCTCCTCCCCTCCCCCGCCCCGTGCCGGCCGCTTTCCCCCGCCGCAAGCGAGCGCGCGCCCTCTCTCCTCCACCACCGCGCAGCCACTCCGCCTCTTTGCTTTTTCGCGCGGCCGCAAAAGCACGCCGGCCCCGGGCCAAAAAAAGGGAGATGCATCACCGGCAGGATTTGAACCTACGCGGGCAGAGCCCATCCGATTTCTAATCGGACTCCTTAACCACTCGGACACGGTGATCTGGAATGCCGCACGCCGAATCGCCCCAAGTACATTCCGCGAACATATTCCCCCGACGCGCGCCGGTCACGCCAGCCTGGCCCCCGTCAGGCGCACGCCGCCTGATCCGGAAATGGTGTTTCCGCGCCCGCCAACGCGATCCATGCGATCGACTCCGCGCGGGGTCGCATTCCAAGTCACAACAAAGAAAGCGGCCCCCCGAAGTGGGCCTCGCCTTGGTGGGTGCCCTGTTTTCATTTCACCCCAAGGGCCCGGCCGCATCCCAGGCTACCTGGCCGTGTTGGCACTCGCCGCGCGTGTCGCCGCCAAGCTTCCACACATGTGCTCCCTGGCGCCTGCCCGGGTGACCGCGCCCCGTGCCCCTCTCCACGGCCGCCGGCCAGCGTCGGGGAGCCGCACAGGGGTCGGCCCCTCGGCAGACCGGGCGGTCAGTGGCGGGCGGGTCGGCGGTGAGCGGGTCGGCGGTGAGCGGGCCAACAGGCGGGCCAACAGAGGCGGGCCAACAGAGGCGGGCCAGCAGACGGACCGGCGGGCGGGCCAACAGGCAACACACCCGCCCCAACAGACGCACCAACAGGCGACACACCCGCCTCAAGAGGCACCCCGGCGCCCCTCCCCCCTCCAGGCCCAGGGCAAGGCATCCATCCCAATCCCCCCCCCACACACACACCCCGCCTGCCAGCCATGAAGCCCTTCTACTCCCTCCTCATCCTGGCCCTGCTCGCCACCGCCACCATGGCCAACGTCCACCACGACGCCGAGCCGGAGCACCTGCCCGTGCCGCTGATCCACAACGCCGACGCCGAGACCATCCCCGACCAGTATGTGGTGGTCTTCCGCCCGGACATCTCGGTGGCCGAGGCCCGGGTCTTCGCCGACTCCCTGGACATCGGGCGCTTTGTCCACATCGGCAGCCAGTTCAAGGCCGTGTCCGGGCGCATGACGGCCGGCATGCTGCGCCGGGTCCGCACCCGGCCCGACCTCGTGCAGTACGTCGAGCCGGACCAGGTGGTCCGCGTCGGGGCCATCACCCAGCCCAACGCCCCCTGGGGCCTGGACCGCGTGGACCAGCGCAACATCCCCCTGGACACGCAGTTCTCCTACTACAACCACGGCGGGTCCGGGGTCAATGTCTATGTCCTGGACACCGGCATCAACCATGCGCACATCGACTTCGGCGGCCACGCCTCCCACGGGTACAACTTCCACGACAACAATGGCAATGCCAATGACGACAACGGCCACGGCACCCACTGCGCCGGCACCATCGGCAGCTACACCTGGGGCGTGGCCAAGAACGCGGCCCTCATCAGCGTCCGGGTGCTGGGCACCAGCGGCGCCGGCGTCATGTCCAACGTCATCGCCGGCGTGGCCTGGGTGGCCGAGCGCCACAAGCAGGCCTTCCGCAAGAAGACCATCGCCTCCATGTCGCTCGAGAGCGAGGCCTACGCCGCCCTCGATGAGGCGGTCGCGGCCGCCATCAATGCCGGCGTCGCGGTCATCGCCGCCGCCGGCAACAGCAACCGCGATGCCTGCCTCAGCTCCCCGGCCCGGGTGTCCTCCGCCATCACGGTCGCCGCCACCGACAAGTACGACAACCGCGCCTCCTTCTCCAACTGGGGCTCCTGCGTGGACATCTTCGCCCCCGGCGTGGCCATCACCTCCACCTGGATCGGCTCCACCACCGCCACGGCCACCCTGTCCGGCACCTCCATGGCCGCGCCCCATGTGGCCGGCGTGGCGGCCCTCGCCCTCGGCCAGGGCGGCGCCCTGACCCCGGCCTCCCTCAAGAACACCCTCCTCCGCAATGCCACCCCCAACGTCGTCAAGGACCCCCGCGGCTCGCCCAACCGCATGGTCTTTGCCCCCTTCAACTAGGGTCCTGCCTCGCTCCTTTTTTCTTCCCTCCCCGGCCCCGTTCCCCTGGCTCCTTGTCGGCCCCCCTCGCTCCCAATAGACGCACGCACACCCCTCGGCTGCTATTTTGTTGGGCCTTCTTTTGTTTCTTTCCCCCCTCCACCGGGTGCTGGCTTGCGTCCCCCGGCAGCCCCCGGGGGGGGGGGGGGGGGGGGGGGGGGGCGTGACTGCCTGCGGTCCGGGCGCCAGAATGCCCCCGCGGCCGGGTCGTGGCCATGGTTGGTGGGCGGTCTCCCGGCCGGGGTGCGTTTCATGCCGGCCAATGCCAACGTACGGCCGGCCGGGGTGTTGGCGCCCCGCCCGGGCGCGGCAGCCGGGCCTTCTTCGTTTCGACGCGTGCGCGTGCGCCTGTGCATGCCTCTTTTCGTGCGCGCATGCCCCTCCGTTCGTTTGTACCAGCGCGTCGGTGAGGCTGCCTTTGCATGCACATCTGCCGTTGGATGGATCTCCCTGTCTTGACGCGGGAGATCCAGACGCGTCGGTGTGGGCCGTTCGCCGATCTGCGCCCGGCCGGGCCGGAGCCGTGCCGGCGCTCGCCCTCCCCCACACCGGCCGCCATGGCGGGGGCGCCCCTCGCGTCCGCCCAGCCACCAGCCGGGGCGCCAGCTGCGCGGCCCTGCCCTCCTGCTCCCTCCGGGCGGCCGTCTTCTCTCTTGGCGTATATGCTGTGGCCCGGCCACTGGGAGCTCAAGTCCGGACCGCTGGGCCGCCCGCTCCCCGGGCCCTCCGGGGCACATCCGCACCGTGCCGGCCCGCAGGCCCTCATTTCGCCCGGCCTCGGGGCCGCGCACCACCGCCGACGGCCGGGCCACCCGGGCTGCCCTTCGTCGTGCTCCCCCTCGCTCCTGTCTCCCAACTGCTCTGCCGCCACCTGGCCAGGGGGGCGGGTGGTCTGGCGCTCGGCGCCACTTGCCGCGCCCACCGGCCCCCACTTGCGCCTCCAAAGGCCCGACTCGCCCAGCTGGCCCCGCTTCACCACCCGATCACACAGCATCCCGACGGATGCGCCCAGCCCCAGGACCAGGGGCACACACACACACACACACACACACCGTCTCCGACACAGACACCCGGCCCCCATGCCTGCCTGTCTTCCCCCCTGCGCATGGATGACGCCGTCGCCGCGGCAGCCGCCCATGGCCTCCGCCGCCAGGTCCCCGGCCTGTGCCGCGGCGCCGGCAGCCAGCCGCCCGGCCCTCGAGGCAGCACCCCTCGCCCCAGTGAGCGCCGCCCGCCTCGCCGGAGCTCGCACAGGGCGCCATGGCCGTTCTATTGGCAGCTCGCGCGCGGGCCCGGCATGCCATGCGCACCAGCTGGCCCCCGGCCACCGGGTCCGGGCGGTGGCCGCTCGCCCCGCATGCCGCCCGGCACCGGCCACCCCCCGCCAGCTGCAGCCCCGTCGAGCACGGCCCCCGGGCCGGGGCATGCCGCCTCGCACGCCGGGTGGCACTGCTGGCACTCCGGCCAGAAGGTCCCCCTCGGGCGGGCCATCCCCAGGCGCCAGTGCGCCGGGCCCGGGCTTTCGCAGAAACCCGGCTGCGACAGCACCGGGCCCTCCGGGGCGGCCCGGGTCCGACTCGACCAGGCCGCCGTGCATATGACCACCGGCCGCCGGGCTGACATCCGCCCGCCAGCAGCCCACGCCGGACGGACGCCTGGCTGGTCTGGAGGTGGCACGGCAGCACCCACACCCGACTGCGTGGTGGCACGGCAGCACCCACACCCGCCCGCCCGCCCGCACCAGCACCACATCCCCCCCCCCCCCCCCCCCCCCCCCCCCCCCCCCCCCCCCCCCCCCCCCCCCCCCCCCCCCCGGTCCGGGCAGCTGGCCACCGCCGCCGGGTCCCGGCCGCCGCCCGCACCATCAGCCGGCTGGCGACCATCATGTCGGCCCCGGCGCGCGGGCTGCTCACCCTGGCCGTGGGGGCACCGGCCCGAAGAAGGGCCCCTGACGGTACTCCGGCGGGAGGTCCACCCGGTCGCGCTGGTCGAACACCTCCACCTTGGAGGCGCCCTTCCAGGACACCTTGACTGGCCGCCGGCCCGGCGATGTCTCCAGCCCCGGGCGGTCCGGCGCCCGGGTGTGGGTGCTGCCGTGCCACCACGCGGCCGGCCGGCCAGCGCCCGCCGCAGCCCCGGCGCCGGCAGGGCCATGGCCGACTCGTGTGTGTGTGTGTGTGTGTGTGTGTGTGTGTGTGTGTGTGTGTGTGTGTGTGTATGTGTTCTCCTCGTGTGCCGGACGGGCCTCCCTCACCGGCCCCGGCGCCGGACGGCCTTAGGAAGGGCGCCCGTGCCGCGCCCGGCTTCGGGCCACCATGAGCCGGATGCATGGCCACCCTTTTCTCTATATTGACCGCATGTGTCTCTGTATTTGTTTCTGCATCTGTCTTTGCCACTGCTTCTCCAGTTGCATGCGCCCCTGCATGCATCTCTGCATCTCGTCATGCATCTCTCCCCCTGCCGCATACACAGCCGCGTCAGATCGCCCCGCGTGTCCGGGCCTCCACTCGCCCCGGCAGGGGCCACCGCATCGACGTCCCGGGCCGCCGCCCTCGAGCACGCTCGTCGTCAGTGCAAGGCCCTCCCCGACACCACCCCGGCAGCACACGGGGCCAAGGAGGGGCGAAGGAGGCCTGCTGCATGCTCGGCTCCGCTCGAAAGAAAAAAAAATGAAGCCCAGCACCACCGCCTGCCGCGGCGCGCACACCGAGGCCCCCTCTCCTGCATATGCCCCTCGCCCGGGCCCCGCGTTGGCATGCCGCCACCGGGCCAGCACCGCCCCAAGCCAACCGGCCAATGGGAGGCTGGTGGTTCTGGAGTCCCCGGCGGAACACGTGAACGACCTTGCTTTTCTCTGTGATCGGCCCAAATCACCCGCCAGCCCGAAAGTGGCACGCTCGCGGGGGACCCCGAGGCCGGCAACCACTCCTGTGCTGCCGCCGCCCCCCTCCCCCCCCCGGTGGGGCGCGACCGGTGGCACATGCACGGCGCCGGGGCCGCGCCAACCAGGCACCTGCCGGGGGGGGGAACATCCCAAATGGAACCCCGTCCTGGCAGGCGTCCTCCGGGCGCCCCTTCCCCCGAGGGATGTCGGCCTCTTGGGCGCCACAGAACGGGAGCGCCTCAGTGCCCGTCCCGCGGTCCCAATGCAGGCATGCGAGGCGCCGGTGCCCCCAATTAGGCAGGCACACGCCTGTCTGCGGCCAACCGCGCCCCGCCGGCGCCCCACACACAGCACGCCCCCTCCCGTCCTGGGAACCGGCCGGCTGACGGAGGGCGCGCCCGCGCGCCCGCGCGCGCTCCACCTGGCACGCCCCCCCGGCTCGGCCGGCCACCTGCGCCC